AAAAGGAAAGAACAAAAGAAAGGAAATAGAAAAAGCTAGATATAGACGATGCAAAAGCTAGATCTAAATTAAAATCCCAAATCCAAGCACTCTTCAAAGACAATCAAAGGTGCCCTTCGTCTCCACCAATGTGAATGCTTGGAATATGGAAAGGGAATATAAAAAATGTGCATATCAATTAGCCTAAAAACTTTAGTTTATATACAGAAGCGAATGGTCCAAATTAAAACTAATCTGACGGCTACCAAAAATTCACTACATTAATATTAATATATAATATTGTAACTGTACACTTGGCCATCACAACCTGAAAAAATATATATATATATATATATATATATATATATATATTAGGGGGCTTGAGGGTTTAGGGTTTTTGCTCTTTTAGGTTTTTAGATGGTTGTGTCAGAAACGTTTTGGGGCGATGCCAGCTGTGGTTGTGCTGCGCAAGGGGCAGCTGCTCCAAACCTATTCGGATCAAGGCCTGACAGTGGGTGACGTACTTGATGATTTGCGCGAGTCGGGGTTTGTGGGGCATCTGGAGGACGAGCACGGCAAGCTCCTCCGCAGGTACGTTCTTGTTGGAGGCTCTACGTACAACTTCGTAGAGGTGATGCTGGGAAATGGGATTGATTGATTTTCTAATGCATTGAAAATCCGCAGAAGCAAGGGGCAACCTGGTTTGATTTGCATCTACGAGTACCCTCACCTTCCGCTTTCGCTGCAGACCCTGAAGCTATGATGCGGTATCTGGGCGGTGACGATCCGATATACGATCTCGGTCGGACATCAGCAGCCATTCCGCTGCCGCTCACAGTTGAGGCGTTCGCACTGTACGTCCAAGGCCTTAAGTTCCGTGTTCTCGACGCATTGGACTGGAGCTTCGTGTCCAAGGTTATGGGCATGAGTAGATTCTTCGAGAATGAGACGCAGCGGCAGAGTGCATTTCTGGAGTGTACTGAGGATTATCTCAGGGCAACATGTGCTGGTGTGCAGTTGAGGTTTACGGAGTCTGTCAAACGGAAAGGCATGCCGGATATCAAGATCGAGGCCTTGGTCCTGGGAGAGTGGATAACTATCTGCATGATAGAGGTGAAGGTAGAGATTGGGGGAGGGGAGCCTTGTGTCGAGCTGGTGAAGTACTACGCCGACTACACAACGCAGCTGTGGCAGAGAAACGATTGGTTGTATCAAAACTCCTGCTGTCCAGTGCTGCTGATTGAGGTTGTTGGTCCGCATGTCCGAGTTGGGGGTGCGGTCAGGTACGTGGACAAGCCTGCTTATCAGCCATTCACCCCGCTTCTTCACGTTTTCAAGTTCGTCCAGGATGCAGACCACCTGAGTATCCTGTCCAGAGCTCTTGGCTCCATTGGTGATGCGGTGAAGTCTTTGGTGGCGTTTTACGCTGGGGTGACGCGTTCCCTTCCGCCTGTAAGGGCAGCTGAAGTGGAGTGGCCTTACGCGATCACACGTCTGCAGCAGCAAGGGGCGGTAATTGTTCAGACCACGCTTTCACGGAGCTTCCTCCGTGCAATGAACAAGCAACTCCTGTTTGGCGTGGAATTGAAGGGAAACCGCCGCATCGTCAAGTTCTGCCAACGTTACGGAACTGCGATCCATCAGCAGTGGGCTGCTGAAGGCTTTGCTCCTTCCTTCACGTGGCGCACCCTTGCTGGTGGCTGGTTGATGATCGACATGGAGCTGTGCTCACAGGACGATGGCTGGGTATCACTTATGGCCTTGGATCCCAACAGTTGGAGTGTAGGAGACAACGCAGCTAATGAGTATCGTCTGCAGCCAGAGGAGTGGGAAGTTTGCAAACAGAAGGTGGTAGAGGGATACAGGACTCTGCGGCTCAAGTTTCCAGGGGTTGTGCACGGAGATCTGCGAAAGGCCAACATTATGTACAATGTCTCAAGCAAGCACGTAGCTTTTCTGGACTTCGACTGGGCAGGGATCGAAGGACAGGAGAAGTACCCGCTGCTGATTAACACCCTCATGCAATGGCCTGAGGGCGTTGGTCCGTGTAAACCCATGAAAGCGGAACACGACCGGCAATTGCTTGCTACTGAGCTGGGGGTGAAGCCTGACGACATTGTCGCCTAAGAGACTGCCTGTGCTCGCGACACGCGACCTTTTGTTTTTTTCTATTTTCTTTTCTTTTGTTTTTTTTCAGCTTGAAGTTTTCAAGCTCAAGAACAAATGCAGAATGGGATGAGAGCTCCAGTTGTCGGATAGGAACTGGACGCTTTGAGCCCCCAACATGCAGAGAAAAATCAACAGAAGTCGTTGTGCAAAATCCATTCTACTGGGGCATAATTCGAAATGCTTTTATATGAATTCGTCTTTACAATGGGTATTTGCAACTAGACATTGTCTACATTGCTCTGATTTGTTGCACCAGGGTTGAAATAGTCCATCATCTTTTAGAGATATATTAACTATAGTACGCTGCTCTGCTGTGGCATAAATGAATCGTGTGCTCAAAAGCCTAGGCGGAGCTTGTAACACTGTTCAACAGCACTGGAGTTCGCCGACCTGGTAGTGATCTTGTATCTCTGCTAGACGATCCGAAGCACATTGGCAACAGGCTAGCTGGTGCGCTGTCTCCCAAGTTCCATTAGAACACACAATTGTTTCTTTCTTTTTTGTTTTTTTGTTTGTTTGTTTTTGTGTTTCTTTTTTTCAGGGGCTGCTGTGTAGCCGGTCTGTCAGGCTTAAAAACCTTAGGATAAACATCCCCTCACCATAAGAAGTTTGAAAAGAGGCAATGATTATACAGTGTAAGTGGGTACACAAATTTAAGTATAAAAAGTTAGGTGAAGGTTAGGTTTATTACACCCATAGCTAAATAGATAAACAAATTTCTAAATGGCAATTGAAAGAGCTAGTACACATGCATTAGCCTCCTGAGTTCAAAGTGCATGGAAAATAATGCAAACTTTGGCAGTTTATTTATGGACTCAAATAATCCTTAATGATATGGTATAAACATCTTGAATAAATTCTTTTTAACACTTGATTTCAACCATGTATGAGCAGACTAAAAAACTTTACTATTGTATTTGAGAGTCAACAATTATACTCATATGTGTTTATATTGATGATCTCATCATGGTTGGGATGATATTGAATTTATGATGGCTAAAAGAGCAACTCGCTAGATAGTCTAAGATGACAGATCTGGGTAAAAATTTATTCTGTCTTAGCTTACAAGTTTCTCACAACAGGGAACACTGCATCTTAAGGATTCATTAGCGGAAGTATATGTCCAATCTCATCAAAGCATATGGCAAATTCTTTACTATGCACATTGCCCTAACTCCAGCACTACAACTCCACAAACTTTCCAAAGCTGACAAACCACGTTCTGAGGGGGAAAAGAAATAGATAATGCAATTACCATATCAAAACGTGGTTGGTTCTTTGATATACCTTGTGACAGCAAGTCAACAAAACATAACAACAGCCATTTCTCGCATATGCCAATTCATGTAGAATCAGGGAAGAGACATTGGTATGTGGTGGAGCAAATCTTTAACTACATTGTGCAAATCTTGACACTCTACCTCAAATTTAAAGGTAGCATGTCACTAGAAGTACATTAGGAAAGGAGTTAGTCATCAACTTAATTAGTTCCATATGGGATGGACCTTGATGACCACAGATCAACAACCGAATATGTATTCAAATTCTCCAATGCTGTTGTATCTTGGTAGAGTTAGAAATAATGAATGGTGGTATTATCAACAACTGAGGCCAAGTAAAATGTAGTCACTCTAGATTCATTGACTACTACGAGACATTAGATTCAAGATGCAAACATCAATGAATGTATACAATAATAAAACAGCATGTGTACAGTCTATTACGAATCACAGGACCAAAATTGTAGCTGACCTCTTGACAAGACAACAGTAGCTGTTCAACAATTTGAACAATTGTGTAGCCGCTTCCTATTGGAAGCTGAGATCTGATTTACGATCTGAAAAGATTGTCAGATATAGGGGGAGTGTTGGAGAAGTAAGAATCAAGGTCACAATGAGACAGGGATCTACAGCAAGAATCTCAGAGAGATTTAAGGATATGAACATATATATAAACCTCTACTTCTAAAGCATTCATACAGTTGAATTTTTCCTGTTCATTCTTTCCATCAGTCCCTGTTAGCCAAAACGGCCTGAACAGTTTGTAGTCTTCAGCCAGCACCTTCCTTGTCGGATCTGTTGCCTCTGATGTCACAGTGAGATCCGATAACCGCCGATTGGTACCAAGAACTAGAGCCCACAGACCATGATGTGCTCTGCCTAGAACTCGCCTGAGAAGCGTAAATCCCGTATCCCTCGTATCCTCGTTGGGCAGTTCCAAATCTACCAGCGTATTAGCATCGTCAAAGCGAAACAGCACTTTGAGGGTACCCTCCAAAGGCAACCCTTGGATAGCAGTCGTTAAAGCCTCTCTAAGCATGCGACTCCCAGCGTCGCTGAAACGTCCTGAGCGTAGTAGGATGCTCAGCCTCTTTAGCGGTTGCAGCTGCTTCAAGATGCGCTCTCCAGTGAGAAAGTCGACTGGCTATCTTCCGTGCTACAGGGAAAGCCACGGCTGAGATCCATTTGGACGAGTATCCATGCTTCCAACACCTCACAGGCTCTTGCCACTGTTTGAAACTAGGCTTTTTTAATGCGATCCTTTCAGATATTACCATCCTCCCCAGTAATCCAGTAGCAACCTCAAATCTCTATAAATTTGCAAGTTTAGGGTTGTCATTTTAGAATGGGGCGCAAGGCAAAACATAAATGACGTACAAGCCCTTTTGGTAGGGCTCACACGCCAGCCTCGACTTGCCCTAGCCGCTACTCTGCACAACAGCGAATAACGGTGCCACGAATTTGTTGCTAGATAACTAAATTGCATAAATCCTTCTTAATATTGTGACTCCCTCGTCTTGAAGAGCATACTCCAAGAATGCTTTCGCGGAATCATCTAAACCCTAATTTTAAACAAAAGTTTATTAGTCAATGCTTTTTAGGGTAGGAGCGATGGCGCCAGCGTCTCCCTTCGTGGGCGACGTTCTCGACGGCGATGTGGCGCTCGTCACGGGCGGTGGATCTGGTATTGGCTTCGAGATTGCGCTGCAGCTGGGCCTTCACGGCGCGCGATTGCTCCTCCTCGGCCGCCGCCTTCCCGTGCTCGAGGCGGCCAAGAAGAGTCTCTCCGCCCGCGGAATCCAGGTTTGCTATAGCTCTTCGATTCGGGATTGCCCGATCGCTCCTCGTTACAGGTCGAGTACGCGCATGGAGACGTGAGATCGCCCGACGACGCCGCCAAAGCCGTGAATCTGGCCGTGGAGCGATTTGGGAAGCTCAGCATTCTCGTCAACAGTGCCGCTGGGAATTTCTTGGCGCCGGCCGAGTTGCTCACTTCCAAGGGGTTTAAAACTGGTGCGTGTTCTTCCCGTCTAGATGATAGATGAGATTCTTTCTTTCTTTCTTTTAGTTTCATCAAGAGCATCGTCTAGGCAGTTCTCGAGATTGATACACTGGGGACTTTCAACATGTGCCACGCTGCATTCCCAGCGCTCAAGCGAAGCTCGAGCGAGAAGAGTGTTATCATCAACATTAGCGCGACTTTGCACTATGGAGCTACTTGGTATCAATCGCATGCCGCGGCTGCCAAGGTTCTCAACTTCTCCAAGGTTCTTTCTATAAAACTTGTCTCTGGTTCTTTTCAGGCTGCCATAGACAGCTTAACTCGAAGCTTGTCCCTCGAATGGGGTCCTATTCGTGTTAATGGCATTGCTCCAGGGCCGATCGCCGATACCGCTGGCTGGGAGAAGCTCTCTGTCGGAGTTGACTCTGCTGCGAGCGTCCGTTCCCGGGAAGAGATTGTGGAAAAAACTCCAGCAGGACGCGTCGGAACAACGTGGGACATCGCGATGGCCGCTGTGTTTCTAGCTGTAAGTTTTCTTTCCCTTCGTCGCTTTGCTTCGAGGCTAAGAGTTTTTCTCGTGCATTTTTTTAGTCGAGCGCTGGAAGCTGGATAACCGGCGAGACGATTGTTGTAGACGGTGGAAACTGGCTGTATTATCCTCCAGCTCTTCCAGCTGATGCCGTCGCCGAGGCTTCCAGAGCTGTGGAAGCATCGAGCAGACGAGTGGGCGTTCCTGAAAGAAGCAAGCTTTGACGAAACTTTTGCGATACTCTGACACGACATACTTGATCGAAAAACATTCTTATTAAAGTGGTGAACAAAACAAGATATTGGTTATGGAAGTGGAACTACAAAAAACCAAGTAACGAAGTAGTGATCAATCGAAGTTAAACTACAAAAGAATGGCAACCAGAAGGAAAGAGGAACTTGACCATCATACCGCGGGAACGAGCAACCAGACGAGATTGAGCAGCAAGAGGAAGGCCCTGCTGCTGTGAAGCATGAGAGCTGGCGACGGGAGAGGAGCTGGAGCGGCGGGACAAGGCAGGCCCTCTGGGCCGGCGACGCAGAGATTGGCAAAGAGGCCACCCGGGTAAGCCCCGGCATTGTTGAGGTACGCAAACATCTCGTCCGCGCAAGTGGTGTTTTGATCGTTGAAATAAGTGATGTACCTACAGGTGAGTGCGATGAAAGAGTCGCAGCAGGGCTTTTGCGGGTATGGCGACTTGCATACGCTCGTGATACTGGTATAGTTGACGGTCCCGAAATCAAATGGGCAAGCTGCAAAGAAAGTTTCAGCAGCACGGTCGGTGAAAGCAACGAGAATGGAAGCACAGATCGAATGAGGGTCCAGGAGACCCATAGGAAAGAAGAGCCTCCAAGTAAGGTGGAAAGCCATCGAAGGGATCGAAGCAAGAGACCAAGACAGAAGAACTTACGAGCTTTAACTTGGGAGAGTCTCCTCATCGGCCCCTGCGATCCTGCATTGACGGCGAGTATGAAACTCTGCGAGGAATGGGATGATGATACCTGAGGCTTGGCAGCACAGCAAGAAGCAGCAAAGGGCCAAGCAAGCTCCTGTCCACAAACCCATCTCCAATCGATTCTCGGATGAATGGTAGCCGCGTGGATCGAGTGCGAGCAAAACCCCAGGCAAGAGTCTACTCGTTACTTCTGATTAACGTGTTGGTTTATTAGTTTCTTTCTAGCTGATTAATTACGCAAGTTCCCACTACAATCTAGGCGGTCAATTCCCCGTCGGTTTCATGTGATTCTATCAACGCGGCATGCCAGCGCATCTATAATAAAATAATAAAAACCTCCCGCAGCCGTTGGATATCAGGTTCGGGTAGCGTTGTATGGACTGGATGTGTTGGCAGCCGATGGTGACGGAGGGAAACAGGGACAAGCTTTCATCTAGGGCTCCATTGCTCGCTCTTTCTTGCCACGGGGTAGGTAATTGTATCACAAAACGTTACATCCAATTCAGTTTACACTGTACATTGCTGCATTTGCCAAGCTCCAAGTGGAGATCACGTTGTATGCTAACAATTCAAAGAGGTTCTCTAATTTTTTTTCCCAAAAAAAAGAAAACAAGCAGTTGCCGCCAATGGGGCTGCTGCTACTCATGGCCACCACCACATGCTAGGGACACAACAACCCCACGATGGAAAATTCTTACCCCATTGGATTCACATTTTGACATATGAGTGTTCTTTAATTCCAGGTCTTTGCTCAATCTCTGCCTCAAAATCCACCAAGCGCTGCTGCTGAGATCCGCCAGGTACAAGACCATCTTCTTTTGAATAAAGTCTTCTCTCATTCTAGCTCCTTTTTCAGAGTCAAACTAAGGACCCCACTCAGTCTCAAAAATTAAATCTCTGAGATTATATTCAAGATAATCTCTACATTCAATAAATATATTTATTTAAACACTTTTTATAAATAGCTAATGGGACCAATACATGGGGTGAGAATATTTGACATACATGGTAAGCAATCATATAACAATATTGAGGGACTAGTGTTTAATATACAAAAGTTTTTTGGCATTACTTAGTGCAAGACACAATAAAAAAGAAACTCCTTATTCAGCTAAAGATGTTTAATTAATAGCATATAGGAATTCCATCCTTATGCTTGTTTAATCTAAGTATAATTGAAATGTCCAACTAACACAAGAAGGGTCCAAAAATACTAATCTTTTATTATTATGGTAGTAAAAAAAGAATATATGAAAAAACTTGCTAATAAGTAATTTTCAATACCCACAATCACAATAAATATAATACATCTAAATCTTACTTATCATATACTACCTTGAGACAATGTTTAACTGCAAGGTGTCAAGTAGCGTCTTGCCTGTATTCATCCAATGCCAAAGCCTCCCAAGCTCTTATCTACTGCTTCTCATTGAATTGAAGATTTACTACATGTTGTAGAGTAAGCTGCAATGATGAGACTTGGATGGCGATAGGAAGGACAGCCTCTGTGCTAGAGAGAAGTGAGAAAGGTGTTGCTGCAATAGATGTTTTGACATGGTTTTAAACATCCACAAAGGCATGAACAAGTGCTCATGCGAATAGATTGTCAACCAGCTTCAAGATAATTGTCTTCAAAATTTTGTTAGAAGACTTGGCTTGTCTATTTGATTATGGATATCTACTATTGCTTAAAATGTGAGTTTCACCAAGGTATGCAACTACTATGCTGATGAAAGAACTGCCAAGATTGGACACCAAAACTGCTAGGAGTCTAAAGTGATAAATGATGTGCTCGTAGAGAAACTTCACTATGGAGATCTAATCTGCAATTCAAAACGAGATGGCCTCAGGCCACTTAGTGAAGTAATCTATGGCAACAAAAACTATGAACTTGGTGGAGAAATCCAGCCAATGAAGTCAAGTCCCACTTGAAGGACCTAGCTGCGACCACGAACTGGAAAGGAAGGTGAAATGTAGTTCTTCGAGTTGCATTGTTGGCAAAGAAGGCACTCTTTGGCATAGGTTGCTGTGTCTTGATGAATGGTCAGCCAAAAGAGCCCATGTTGCAAAATTTGCTGTGCTGTCACCCTTGCTAAGAAGTGTCCAAAACAAATGTGGAAAGAGCAAAGAATCCCTGGGATCTCATGCTCTACAACACATCAAAGAAGGTGTTGTGTCAATAAAGAGCCCCTCCAAGCAAACAATTATCCTGAGCCTTATGAGTTATTGATCGCTGTTGCTCCCATGAGAAAGATGGTGGATACTACCCAGTATAAAGATACCTTGCAATACGATGGAGAGAAGCAGAAACACTAAAGGTATCCACCAATGCGATCAGAGCTTGGCTAGGGTTATGGACTTGTTGCTTCCTTGCAATGAACTCTAGCTCAAAATCCTGGATCATGAGCGACAACAATAAAGTACGTGATCGCTGATTGTTTTTCTGTAAAAGGAAAGTCAGTAGATTGCAAGAGACATGGATGTGGATACGGGCTTCAAGTAAAAGGTGGCAGAAATGTCGTAATATGTATACTACTGCCACAGCTTCTCACTGCTCTGAATCCTTAAGTGAATGTGAGACAAAGTAGACAGCGTGGAGGGGGTTTTGTGGCTCCTTTCATTGACACAAACAGCAATCACCCATCCTTTCTAGCATCTCCTCAAGATGGTCACACCTTTCCAGTGGCAACAGCAAGCTTTTGAGGTGATCTAACCCCTTCTTCGACAACCGCCAATTCCTGGAGACTGTTTTGAGATTTTCATCACCACTGGAGCTGAAGCTTTTGGAGCTAGCAAACTTTGGAAACAAACTAGCCTGGTGTAGCATCTTAAGTGATGTTGGAGGTGGACTCTGGAGCATAGGGAGTGATGCCTTGAGATGAGATATCAAAATTGAGCAGCCTCTCTTGTGTAACTCTGAAATTGCATTTTCGGTGTTGAGTGAAAACCAGGCAATGCTAGAAAACTTGCTCCAAGGTCAATTAGATGATCTTTAAAAGAGCAAGATGCTGAGCAAAAGGTCGTCCATCTAAACTCGAAGAGAGGAGCCGAGAAGGTCATGAAAAACATACTTGGAGAAATGCAGCTCCTACATTATATAAACCAAATGGAAGTACTTTATATGCGAAGACACTCCATGGCGTGCAGAAACCTGTCTTTTTTCGATTATGAGGATGAATCTAGAGCTGGTTGTGGCCAGCTAACTCATCGAGGATCTCATTTTGAAAAGGAGTTGCAAAGCGATCCTTGAGTGTCATGTCATTGAGGCTGACACATAACATATAGTCAGGGATGGAGTGACTCCCAAGTGTACAGCCCAGGGAGTGGAGGGATAGGAGTCAGCAGTGGTGTCTCACAGCAGTGAGGATTTGGCTTTAAGCAAAGACAAAAATGGAATGACTTCCACCTTGAAAACCGGCTGGATGTCTTCTAGAGCATCTTGCATGTCTCGTGTGAAAGCTTTTGTCCGCCCACATTTGTGAACCCAAAAGTTGTCACCACGGAGGACATTGTGAATGTGATGAAATGAAAGTGTTGTCTAAAATCCATTCTCTTCAAGTTAAAGCTCTCTGGTGATAGAAAAGTTCTTTCAAACTCTGCTGGGCAATTTCTAGTTATTGAGAAAGATTAGCTATGGAAACTTTGGTACGATGGAAACTTAATACAAAGAAGATACTTTGGTACCTTCAGCATGAGATGGACAAGAAGGGACTCTCCATGGCTCTGGGCCTGGGCGGGCAAGTGAAAGACATAGCTCGGGCACCGCGAGTGGAGCTAGAGCCAGTGTTCTTCCTCGGAGTTCCTTCCTTCGATCCCGCAGCCGATACTGGAACCGACACCGAGACCGAGGCGCAGCGCTGGTGCTGGAGCCTGTGCTGGAACTCCGTCTCACTGATCGTCATCATGCTTCTACCCAGTCGATCATCCAAGCCGGAGCTCTCCCTCTCCTGATCTTCTTCCCTGTACACCGCCTTGTACTGGTACCACCGAGCGCAAGTGAGGAAGAGGAAGAAGTTCGCGGTGCTGAGGCAAGTGAGCAGCAAGTAGAAGCGATGGAGATGGGCCCTATTTAAGTTGTTCCCGATCCAGCTCCCGCCCGAGCCCCGGCTCGTCACCTTCACCACCACGCTGAGGAGCAAGCTGCTGATGAAGCTACCCACGGCCACGGTGCTGAGGTAGAGAGCTGCCCCCACACTGCGCATCGAGTCGGGTGCCTGGTTGTAGAAAAACTCAAGCATCCCAACGGAAATGAAAACTTCACACGTACCGATCAACATGTACTGTGGAAGTAGCCAGAAGATGGTCATTGGCAGCGGAGTGTGGGGCTCGTCGAGCAGCCCGTGCTGTCTCGCCACCCGGAGACGCCTCATCTCCACCAGCGCCGCGGAGGCGATGGCGATGGTGGAGATCACCTGTCCGATGCCGATTCTTTGGAGGGAAGTCAGGCCCCTCTCCTCCCCTGTCAGCTTACGGACGAACGGGACGAAGTATGTGTCGTAGAGCGGCAGGAGGATGCAAATGGTGAGCGTGATGAAGAGCGGGAACGAGGCCGCCGGGATCATGAAGTGCGGTCCCATTCGTCGGTCGAGAGTCCGGCCCTGGCTCAAGAACATCGTCCCGACTTGAGCGAAGACCGCCGAGAACATGAGGTTGGTCATCCAGATCGGTAAAGTCCGGATCAGCAGCTTCACTTCCTCAACTTGCGTGACGGGACACAGCCGCCACGGATTCGGCTCCCTTCCTCGAGACTTGTAGAGAGCTATTTCTTCCTTCGAGATGGCAGCCTTGTCGAGAAACCTGCCGAGAGAACAATCGAAACTGTCAAAAACAAGAAAGACTTTTAACGACCAGAAACTAGAACTTACTCCTTATAAGTGTTGTTGTTTCCCAAGCGCATTACGACCACTTACACAAATCCGGAGCTGTGAGGGAGCTTGCGATGCCTCGGAGAGTGAGGCCCTTCTGGATCTTCCAGCTCGTACAAGAGCTCTAAGTCGGGAACCTGTAACTTCCACTTTCGTGTCGCTGCTACGAGAACTTGCGCAATGCGTGTCAGTGGACTTCCTGCCGGTAGCTGATGCCTGTACTTGGCTGAGCCCAGGAGAAAGAGTGTCGTAGCAATGCACGTAACACTCGTCGCAGCACCATACCCCCAAGCCCATCCTACATTATCCTGGACGTATACCAAAATACTAACCGAGAGCATGGTGCCAAAACTTATGCTCACAAACCACCAGTTCAGAAACGAGAGCTTCCTCTTGCTTTCTACCGGATCATTCTCGTCGAACTGGTCCCCTGCGAAGGCCGAGACGTTGGACTTGATACCACCGGCGCCGAAAGCCATCAAGTAAAGAGCGAAGTAGAAAAACCCGACCTGTAAACCCGAGGCTTTGGGACACACCCGTCCCGACGGAGTGCTGAGACAGTTTGGTGGCTTCAAGGATGGCACGGAGACTGCCAAGGTGACACAAACCATTGCCTGAAAGAGAACAAAGTAAACAAACGTAAAACTAAGTATCAAAGGCTTACCAAAACATAGCTGCAACAAAACGCTGTGAGGGTCCAGTATCGGCCTAGAAACGCATCCGCAACAAAAGCACCTAGCAAAGGTGTTAAAAAAGTCGTGCCGGCCCAATTCATGACGTTCTTCGCGGATTGGGCTATATCCTCGTGAAGCTCGCTGGTGAGATACTTTAGAAGATTGGAAGAGATAGCATAGAACGCTACACGCTCGCAAACTTCGCATCCTATCAACAAGTTGACAGTCAGTAAGAAATCACGAAAACTTACTGAGAAGAAAAGGAAGAAAGAACTAAGAACACACAACTTACCAAAAATCAACCAGCAAGCACTCCAGTTCCCACTCTTGGACTTGATCGCTGGATTGCCATGAAGATCCACAGCACCATTCTCGACGACGTCTTTCACTCGTAGTTCCTCGCCATCGGAGTCGACAAGAGTGCCAGTAGTGGCCGATCCTTTGTCACTGCCTTCGTCGGTAGCCAAAGAGGTGAGCTGGATTTCCTTGATCTCGCCGCCTTCGCTGGGAACTGGAGTGACCACCACGACTGGAGCGATCACAGCATCCTCCTCCTTTTCTATCATCTTGGATTCGAATCGCCTGCATTGGTCGATCAGCTCAGAAGATTTCTACCTACATTCTTTCTTGGAGAAAACCTAGATCGAGATTTCTTACCTCCACGAGGAGAAGCCAGGCGCGATTCATCAAAACGCGCGATCGCTCATCCAGCAAGGCAGATTTTGTAGGAGAGATGAGATTTCGCTCGCAAGAACACCACAGCATAGCTGTGGCGATGGAGGTACCATCGCCAGCGCCAAGGGCAAAGAGAAGAAGCCCTTGGCTGTCGAAAGGACGCTACTCTTCTCGATCGCACGGCGTACACCGCACGATGGCCGGCATTCCGCGCCAGAATGCCTGGCCACACGGACGGCCCGGATTTGCCTTCTTTTAGGTCAACAAAAGATAACGTTAAAACAGGGGATTTGGGCTAGGGCTTGGTTCTCGTCGGTGCTCGAGCGTGCTCGGTCGAGATCTTCATTCCAAGTTCACGCACGCGTGACCTTTTCGCGATGACGCACTCCTCATAGCTTTAATATTTGGAGCGCGCGCTTTTCGATTCTCGAATTGCTGGAGCTTCTTGAGCCCCTCGCGCCGGGCAGCGAGCAAGGTATGGGCATCCCTTGCTCCCTCGATTCATCCTAGGATTTTAGGGTAGGGCAAGTCTGATCGATAGATTCTTTCCTGGGGTTGGGGAGTAGATGGCTCTCGTGGAGTACATGGACGACGAGTTTGATGCGGTGGATTTTGATGACGATGAGGAGCTTCTTTTTGGACGCGATAGGGGTGGCTTGGATTCGGACTCCGAGAACGATGATGATATGGTAAGCTGCGAGTTTCTTTTGTTTAGTCTGCGAATTTCTTTTCTAAGCTCATGAGTTTTGTGTGCTCTAGGAGAGCAAAGAGAAGGATACTACCGCTGCTCAAGCTAGAAACGGTAAGGACATTCAAGGAATACCATGGGGATTACAATTTACAAGGGAGAAGTATCGGGAGGCAAGGCTGCAGCAGTACAAGAATTACGAGAATCTGGAGCATTCTCGTGAGGATTTAGATAAGGTCGGTGCTACATTTCTTTCTAGTTTTCATCGTACAAATCTTTGGAGCAGGAATGCAGGGAATTTCAGAAAGGAAGGCGATTTTACGACTTTCGTCTCAACAAGAGGTCTTTGAAGTCGACGATAGTTCACTTTCAGGTACTGAAACTCACCACACACGCTTTTACTTACTTTGATCTCTTGTGCTGCTTGCAGCTACGGAATTTAATATGGGCAACCAGCAAACATGATGTTTATCTTATGCAAAACTTTTGTGTGCTTCATTGGTCTCCGGTTTCTCAAAAGGTTTCTCAGGTTCTGAATGTTAATTCTCCTCCGCCTCCTGAGGTGCGTTCTGTGTTTTTGGGATTTCTATCGAAAGAAAAAGTGTTTCTAATCGGGTGATTTGCAGAGGACGTCATTTGCGTCTTCGTATTCTCAAGGTATAGGCCGAGTGCAGATTAGCACGATGTGCGTGAAGGAGAATCTGCTTGTTGCCGGTGGCTTTCAGGGTGAAATGGTGTGCAAGGTACGTAAGTACGGTCCCCAGTATCCCCAGCAAATCCCTTTTCTCTTAATTTTACTGTTCTTTTTGTGAAGAATCTCGACCAACCTGGAGTATCATATTGTGCAAAGATCACGCATGACGAAAACGCCATCACGAATGCCATCGAGATCTACAATTCTCCGAGGTACGCTTTGAATTGTTTCTTTCTTTTTTTGTCCCATTCCTTAAGACTTCTAAAAACAGCGGCCCAACTCGCCTGATGACCTCGAACAACGATGCAGTAGTTCGAGTTTTTGACGCAGAAACTTTTGCTGTCCTTGGTCGCTTCTGTTATTGCTGGCCTGTTAACGTAAGTATGTCGATTTTTGCTCCCTCGTTCCCAAGCTTGTTTATTTGTCCCATTTGTACAGCACACGTCCGTCAGCCCGGATTGTCGAAGTATTGTTGTCGTTGGTGATAACACGGAAGGCCTACTTGCCGACGCTTCAAGTGGAAAGGTATATTTTTTTTCCCATCCCACGACTTCCAAAGTGCTTACACAGCATTTACTTTCGTTGTTCCAGGTGATAGCAACGCTCAAAGGCCATCTTGATTACTCTTTTGCTTCGGCCTGGCATCCAGACGGCCGAATCTTCGCGACTGGAAACCAGGACACGACTTGCCGGCTGTGGGACGTAAGAAATCTAAGCTCCTCGTTGGCCATCCTCAAGGGACGGCTGGGAGCGATACGCTCCCTCCGCTTCACAGAGGACGGACGTTTCATGGCCATGGCCGAGCCGGCGGACTTTGTCCACGTCTTTGACACAAGGCAGGACTTTATGCAAAGCCAGGAGATCGATCTGTTTGGGGAAATCGCAGGGATTTCCTTCAGCCCGGACACGGAAGCTCTCTACATCGGTGTGGCCGATCGGATCTACGGGAGCTTGCTCGAGTACAACCGATGCCGCGAGAACTGGTACCTTGACTCCTTCGTGTAAGTGTAGAGGACGGAGTAATCTGGCTGGAGTTTTCTATAAAGTTTGGAGGTGGTCGCTCGGTCGCTCGCAATTAAATGTTTGTGTGCTTGTTGTGTATATATGTAAGTTGCGCTTCGCGGCTTTTTCAAATAAGCGCATCTTGGGCGAATATCCGGACCAGTTTAAATACTTAAAAGAGGGAGGCTTGTCTGGCATTTTTGTGTATACATTGTATCCGTCCCAATTCTGAGAGCTTAGAAAAATCTATGGCTGCTCCAGTGTGTTGGACATTCACCTGGTAAGGCCCACGAAATTTTAGTATAATTTTAACAAACTCGAGAGATTCTAGACAATCAAAAATGTTTGATGGTAGGCATGTTATGGTTGAGGATTTTTATGGAAGCCTATTTATATATAAAGCGGAGGCAACTTTAAGCCCTCGGGGCAAAACAAAGAAGAACACGCCACCTTTTTAATTTCAAGGCTAATGTCATCTCCTCGGTAAGACCTTAAATTCAAAGCTGGGCATCCTCTCCTATTTGCTCGTACCGACTCGATCGAAGCTCTTTCATTATGAATCTAATATTTAAACGTAGTCGCAACCCGCAGAGTGCACAGAGAAAGAGCTGTACTGAGCACTGCAACTGTGATTTTGGAGAAAGCATCAACCCAGCGAGATCGATCGATTGCCGGGCTTGACTTCAGAATCCGTTTGCTGGAAAGCAAGCAGTGAATAATACGAGCCGCAAAAGAAGGTTACAGAGATGATCAAAGTCCACATTATTGACGGACTATGTGTGGACAAACAAACAATAGACTAGTAGCGCGCGAGGCGTTTGTGTCTTCGAAACCCACAACATCCTGGGACCTTGTAAACAAAGAAATTGCGTTTGGTTTGTGCAATAATAGGAGGGTCCCAAGGGCTTTTGTTTTTTGTCCTCCAAAGTCTAGCCACACTCAATCATGCAAATGCTGGTCCCTGCGCCCTTGCGCTAAACCCTCGCGCTAAACAAAGGGTTTAAGGATTCGCCAAGCATGCGGTTTAGGAATTTGTTTGATTCCCCGCAAATAATCACCTGGACACGTGGCAGTCAAAGTTTAGTCCCTGGTAAAAAAGGGTAAAAGCAGCCACCTCTCTGCCATTGAGTGTATGTGAGTGTGGTCACTTTGGTGGACTTTTGACTCCATTCTCGCCAGTTCTTTACTATATTAAAACCCCCTGCCATCTTTTTTTACAGGATCTTGGAAAACTCCGGAAGTTACCTCCCAGGAAAAAAGATGTGGTCATTCGACAGGTGTCGGTGTACGTAACTGGAACAGGTGTCGCTCGACGACGGCGCAGGTACGTTTGGCCCAGACCTAGCCGCCGAGGCAATTTATGTGGACTGGCTGGTGCTGGTGGCAGCAGCAGCGACGTGACGTCCACGCCGCAGGGAAGAAGGCATTGCCCGTCAACTCAAGAAATTTAAGACATGGAAATCTAGGGCTACATTCTTTCCCTTCTTTAACGGCGGCTAGGCTTACGTGTGGCCTGACACTGACGGCCGGACGGCCTGGGGTGAAGTTTACCTGACTGACTGACGCACCGGCCTTGAGGGGCGTGCCCGTCAGGTGGGCTGAAACGTGTCCCCCGGGGCCGGGGTAGGTCCGGACTCTGAATAGCAGGTCCGGCAGGAGAATATCCCCACGGTTGCATGATTGGGGTTGGGGATATTCCAGTTCTCCTGTGACACTCAAAATTCTTTGTTGTTGCTTTTTTTTTTTTTGTGAGGAAGGACTTGTGTGTGTGTGGCGTGGGGGTAAAAAACAAAACGAGCGACTCGCCACCTGCTAGATCGACACTCGTCCTCGTCAAAGCGAGGGCGTTTTTTCCTTTTTTTCCTGGGATTGTATGGTTGCCATTTGGTTTCCGTGGGGTATTTGGAGAGAATGAACCTTAAAAAGCCGAAGGTGTAGAAATCCGATTTCCCAGAAAGAAAGAAAGAAAGCTTGTGCCAAAGGTGGCGGAGGTGGGGCCTTTACCCTAATAGATCGAGGAGAGTGCAGCAGTAACGAAGCTTTCAACCCATCCCCAATAATGCACGTAGCTTGTGTGGGCTCGCAAGCAACACTGGATGGATATATCATTGTCTCGGCAATTGTTGTGTGGCCTACAAAGTCGAGGACTTTGGGGGGTGTATGAGTGCTTGGAAAATCTTGGCACCCTAACGTCCCCATCGCATGCATTATTGATAGAGTGAGTCCTCCCGGCATTATGGACGATTTTAGCCCTAATTTCTCCATCTTTTTCATCGAAAACTTGAGTGGTCCGTCCAACCCCCAGGCCCCGCGATCAATCGTTGCTTGTCTCGTTCCTCTCTTGGATCAATCCTTGTCCTCGCTGCCACGAGATCTCTCGAAATCTCTCTAGTCATTGAATGGTGGCGAGGAAAAGGAGCAACGAGAAACTATATTATTGTCACTCGAAATCTTTGGGAATGTGGACGAGGCCCATTCAGACTTTAAAGGCATGAGAGAATTGAAATGCTTGCCTTTTTTCTTTTGCAGAAGAATACGCTTTGTGGAGATACATGAATAAAGCCCAGTCCATACAAAATGTGCCAGCGATAACTACGCGATCGTCACTAGGGTGACAAGCAACCTCAGCACGCAAAAGGCCACTGTGTCTAGGGCCTTGTATCTCACGAAAAAGAATAGAAAACATTATAGCAGAAATCCCCAACGAAAAAGGAAAAGCAAGGAGAGGACGCGTAAGTGCACGGAGAAAAAAAGGAGGAAAAGCGCTAAATCATTTTTAAAAAAATTGAGTATGGATCGTATGGTTCGTGAAATTCGACACCCGGCCAAAATTCAAACGCAAGAATATGCCAGAACTATTCTCCGCGTGGCAACCGTTGGATGTGTCACATCCCACGGTGCCTTGCCCGCCACGTTGCAGGCCCTCGTTATTTTAAGTCGGTTGTGTGTGTGGGTGTGCGTGTAAGACCCTGTCCTTGGAGTGGTCAGTGTAAAGCCAACACGAGAGGTCCGTTGTTCCGGAACGGGGGTGGAAGAGAGGAAGTTCTCCACAGTGGCGGCTTGAGAGGCTTGAAAGCGGGTGAAAATAGGCTAGAAAATTCGCAATCTACTGTGGCTTTGAGTGGAAGAAGCGCTCCTCTAGGGTTTCTTTTCCTTATTTTTTTTCTCGGCTGCCCGTTGTTCTTCGTGCCAGGCGCCGTTTGCGAGGCGATCGAGCGCTGCCGGACGAAGTATTGCATCATCGCAACAGCAAACCGCTCCAGGCATCGCCGATCGAGTGAAAAAGAAGCATCGCGAGGGCGTAATATCTGTTTTCTCCTCCCTCGTCCTCTTCTGCCCTGTTGCCGTGTGATTCTCGGTGGGAGCGGCTCAGTGGGGGAAATTTTCCTTTTCTCCAGTGTCTCGATCCCAGTGCCGCCGCTTGTTCTATAAATCCGAGGGCCGATCCCTTCTCTGGGCATTGCCGGTGCTGATCGATCGCCGCCGCCTCATGCAGCAGAGGTAAGGCGATTTCCCTCCCTTGCCTTTTCTTTGTTCTTGCGGGTCAATCAATGTGTGCGTGGAGCTGGATTGGCTTGGCTGACCTGCATTTGTGGCATTCGATTGATTCCCTGCTGCTTGCGCCGTGAATTTTGGGGGCTGCGCTGCGTGTGTCGACTCCTCCCTTCTCTGGCATTTCGAGCGCGTCGATAGATCCAATGGAATGTATCTTGTTCTTATTTTTCTTCCATAATCTCCGGGGGGCTGTGTGTGGTCGCCTACTGCGATTCGATTGTTTCTTTCGTCTCTCCTAACCGGATGCCTGGAAAATTCTTTGTGTAGGCCGACGGAGTGCAAGGACCCCGCGAGCTCGTGAAATTGTGTCGCCAAGAAAAGGTCTACGCTCTCTCCCTCCTCTATTCTCTGTGTAGTTGTCAAGGGATCACTGTTCTATCACTTTTCTGTTCCTGATATATTGCAATGCTGTGAGTGAGTGAGCTCTCTGCAAATTCCTGCGTCGGGTCGTGCGCGTGGTCATGGCTTTTGTTTGTGGATTGAAACCTTTTTTTTTCTTGGCGGGAGAGCAAAGGTGCGAGCATAATTAGCTAGCGCATTAATGTTTGCAAAAGAGTCGCTTCTTTGGCGATGTGTTCGAGAGCGAGAGAGACACAGAGAGAGAGAGAGAGAGAGAGGAGGGGGGAGGAAGCTCCATTTTTACAATGTTATAGCTATTGACTTTGGGTTGATCGATTTTTGCAGCACAGCGGCAGCAGCTGGAACTTAGCTAAGGCGGGGCAGGCAGGCCGAATTTGACTAAAACTCTTTTTTTACTCGGCGCTTCGTATCGCTCCTCCCCGTATCTCGAGTCTTCACGTGCTGCATCAAAGGGGGGCTCGTGGAAAGAGCCGTTCTAGAAACTTTGGTGATCGCTTTGGCTTGCAACTTGCAAGGCTTTGGACCAACCAGAGAGGATCTCATCCTGATGGCCGTCAGCTCCAAGCGCAGCAACGCAATGCTCGCGGATCCCGGTGCGGCCTTCACCTCCAAGTTCTCGGACATGCCAGACTCGTCGCTCTCGCTACTGGGTTCCAGCTCCAGCCTCTTCCCGTATTGCAGCAGCTCGGCTCCCTTCGCGGCCGCGCAGCAGAGAATTGGTGGATGCCGGTACGAGAACGGGAGGATCAGCAGCTGGATCGAAGCGATGCGTGCGTCCTCGCCTTCTCGAGGCGCGCCGGTCAAGGATGAGCAGAGCAACAACGTCAATAGCAGCAGCAACAGCAGCAGCAGCAGCAGCAGCAACATCAGCAGCAGCAATCACTTGAAGCACGTCACCGCCGAGAGCCCATACGCCGAGTGGCTGGTTAGTAGACTAACGAGTGCAAGTCTTTGCGTCTTTTTCCATATTTCTTGTGTTTATGGGGGGATACATACACAGTGCATTGACATTGAATTTGTTTGTATTCCAGGAAGGCCATCCCTCCGCCCTGGACTCTTTTGGCAACATGATGGAGGGAGCAAAAAAGAAAAAGGTTGCTATTTTCTTGGATTACGACGGTACACTGTCTCCAATCGTTGAGAATCCGGAGCAGGCGTTCATGTCGGACGAGGTGAATATTTTTTGGTGGTGTTGGGAGACTGACTTTGCTCCCTACTTGATACGCAGATGCGAGCGGCTGTGAAGCAGGTTGCGCTGCGCTTTCCAACTGCAATAATAAGCGGAAGGGGAAGAGACAAGGTAGCTTTTGCTCTTGCTTGGCGTGGTGGTGTGTTCTTCCCAGCTTGATTTTTCCCCCTTGTTTCTTTTGGTTTTTTTTTTTTCTTCTTCTTAGTTCTTTTTTTTTCCTCACTGATTTTCGGGACACAAATACGTGCAGGTTAAAAATTTTGTGCAACTCTCTGAGCTCTATTATGCAGGTAGTCATGGCATGGACATTATGGGTCCAGCCGATGCCTGCGATGGAGTCACAGTTGAGGGAACGCGAGGCAAAGATGAGAATGTTTGTACCTCCATACTCTTCACTATTTTGTTCTCGCTTCGACTTTGCTCTCGGGTGTGTAATGTGGCTTTTCTTTTGTCCGTGTTACAGGGGAATGATGTCGTTTTGTTTCAACCCGCGGCCGAGTTCCTGCCGATGATGAACGAGGTATACTCCCTGCTTCCAAAAACTTGACTCCTGTGCTGTTTTGCGTTGCCACGACTTTTATGTACTGAGCTCATAAGTACTGTGCCAAAAAAAAAAGACCTTTGAATGTTCGGACTCGACTGATGAACTGTTTGTTCGCCTGTCTCAGGTGTTTGGCCTCTTGTTGGAGAGGACACAAGCAATTCAAGGGGCAAGCGTGGAGAACAACACCTTCTGCATTACAATTCACTTCCGGAGAGTCGAAGAAAAGGTACCATATTTTTTTAAAAATTATTTTCCTGTTTGGGGTTTCGAGTGTTGACCGTGCCTGTGGAAGCAGAGCTGGCACCTGTTGGCAGAGAAAGTGCAGGATGTCTTGAAAGACTACCCAAAGCTGCGGCTGACTCAGGGCCGTAAGGTATGTGGCTTTGCCGTCGTTGACCCGTCGCCTCATTGTACGCTCGCTGTGATGCAGGTGCTAGAGGTTCGGCCTTGCGTAGAGTGGGACAAGGGCAAGGCGGTCGAATATCTGCTTCGCTTGTTAGGTACTCCATTTTGTTTGCAAGGCGGAGATTTTTGTACTGACCGGAGGCTAATCTCTGCTTGTGCCTTCCGGCTCACAGGACTCGAGGACTCTGATTCTTTACCAATATACGTTGGCGATGATACGACTGATGAAGACGCGTTTAATGTGAGCCTTCCTTCTTTCTCTCCCTCCACCACAAGTTTTTTGCGTCAAACCTTGTGAAGTTCCTTCCCAAGAGCTGTGTAAGGACTAACGTCGCTCTCTTTGTCTGTTTGGCGCGTGTGAAGGTTTTTAAGAACCGTAAGATTGGATGTGGTGTGCTAGTCACCCGCGGGCCAAAGGCTACGAGCGCGTCGTATTCGCTTCGTGATCCACCCGAGGTAAGACTTTCTGGTGAAAGTGAAGACTCCTCCTGACTCTGGCGGTGTTATTTTTCTTCGCAGGTGATGAAGTTCCTCCATGCTCTGGTTAATTGGAGCTCATCTCCATCTACTACTACTACTACTTCTACGACCCAGTAACGAGGGGGGGAGAGGAGCTCCAGTGTCTCTTGCTCGCGCGAGCGCCGCATCAAAGTCGTCGTAGCATCGCATCGAATCGGATCGATGATGCTCTCTCTCCTTACGGATCGTTCCAGGTACTGCTCTTAAGAACCGGTTTAGTGTCACCACCATAACGCGACGAGACGAAACAAGCTGTACAGTGAGTAATTGTCAAGCCAGCAGCGGAGAAAGGATTCTTTTCCTTCTTGTTCGACGAGTGAGGAGATTTTATGGGCCGAGAAATCGAAGATGGTCCCATTTTCAGAGATGAAAAAAAAAAAAAAGAAGAAAAGAACTGCTGCTTAAATTTGTCTTGGAATTAATGCAATCGTTGAGAATGAGATTGTCTTGGAAGTTTTTTGTTGATAAGAGGAGGCTGTCTTAAACTTGCTATATTTAAAATATAACAAAAAAAAATTGGTTTGTTCTACCATATATGCAATAAGACTAATCTTGTGTTTATAATTATAAATTTCTAATTGATCAATTGGATTAATAATGCTATTATTAAGCATTGCTGGGAGTTTTTATACAATGCCAATCGTTTGACAAGGTCTGTGATTGTCCACGAGAAAAAGCAAAGGAACTTTGTGTGGTTTCTCGAGTTATATGTAACAAGCCAGCCTCTCTTTCACTCTCTTGACCACGCCCTTGGGCTCGTACTCTTCCGGAAGCTCGCCAATGACGATCATGTTTTGGACGCGATCCACGATCTCGGCGAGCCTTCGCTTCTTGTCCTCCTCGATCTCGGCCTTCACCTATGGAAGAAGAAGAAGAAGACGCGATCAAATCGAAGAAAAACCAGACCAATCTTGTGACCTAGTATCGAGTTCTTAAAATCTAACGGGAGTATAAGCTTACCCGTTCGGCTCTGGTAAGAGCGTCGGCGATGGCTTTCTCCGTTTGCTCGTGCGCGTGTGATCTAATCTTGTGCGAGTCCTGGCGCGCCCTGGCGAGAAGCTTGTCCGCGCGGACCTGATCGATCCATCGTTAGAACTTAAAACTCCACGTAAACTTTACAAAAATGGTGAGGTAGCAAGAACAAGAAACCACGGCCATGGCGGAATCCAAGATCCAGCAAGAAAGCGAGCAGAATTCCACAAAGATCGCGCGCGCGCGCGGCGAAAGAATCGAAAGCCTCGGCCTACCTCGGCGGCGTGGACGACGTGATCCGCGCGCTGCTCCTCGCGCTTGCGACCCTCGAGGGCGCGCTGCTCCTCCTGCATCCGCTGCCGCTCCGCCTTGTCCTGCATCCTCTGCGCCCTGGCCTCGACCTTCCTGGTGGCGGCATCCAGATACGCTTGCGCCTCCGCCTCCACGCGGCCCCGGTGCGCCTCCGCGATGGCCTCGGCCCTCTGATTCACCGCCTTGGTGAGCGATGCCGCCGCCGGGCTAGCGCTGCCGCCATTCTGGAGGATGAGCTGCCCGCCCGGGGGCGCGGCCGTGGGAGCCATCGCCAGGATCTTCTTGTTCCCCCCCAAGGGTTTAAAGAAACGGATATTCTTTAATATCCGACCGCCAAAATCTTTCAAATCAAACCTAAGGTTTTAAAGCATATGGCTTGCTAAGCATAGATTTGTTAGAAACAAATGGATAATTGAGAAATCTTTGATAGAATTGACCCACGAACAGCACTAGATTTGGTCGACTTTGAAAAAAAGCGCAAAATAAAAGGCTCACTTTGACATCTTTCGGAGAGAAATCGCTGCCTTCTTTCAGGCACAAAGTCGTTATGTCAAACATAATTAAAGCCTTTGGATCGTATCAGAGCTCTCGCTTGTCAAAGTCTCAACTCCCAGTTGAGCCCCGGGAAAAAGAGAGCCATTCCAGGTACCGATTTCTCTCCATACCCGTATGAAATCCCTGGAGCAAGTGAAATTCTTCATCTCCACTGGAGAATCATTTACAAAACCCAAGATGGTACGCCCACAGTTTGATTCCACACCGAAAGAAAAAGGTTCTCATCAAAAGAACTTGGCTGGTTTTTGACATATTCGCTGTAATCTCCTTGTCCTGGATGGAGAATACACCGCTGTGAATCTGGAATCTGGATGGGTTTCCAAAACAATCATTGACATATTCCGATCTCCGGTTCTCCTTTTGATCCAGAAGAAGATCAGAACTTCCAGTCCCGCGACTCAAACTTTGGTGGTGGTGATTGAGCTTTGGTGGTGGTGATTGATGTTGTATGCCTCTCGAAAAGATTGCAAGACAAATGATAGAGCTTGCTTGCTCGCTCGTTTGATTCTATTCGCAACACTTCCTTTTTTCTCCTCACGCAAGTTGTTTCATAGCTGGTGAACATTAAATTGTGAAGAAAACATGCCGGCCAGACAGAGCGAAAGCTAAAAAGCCACATTGTTCTTCCCCCGTGCAAATCTTCCAATCCCAACAAATTGGTGTCGCAAGATCGCCAAAGAAACGATCACGATCGATGAAGCGGGTTATACCACCACCTTACGGCGGCATCTTTTCCGTGCCCTGCCTGCCACTGGGGGCTTCGATATCGTACTCGTGATCTCGCGGGTACGGGAAAGAACTCCACCCATATGCAACCGCGATCAATCAGTTCTGGAACACTTCCATAAAACTTAAGCTTGAGTTTAGCTATGGAGATAGATTATCTCGAAGTTTTCTCACGCCACGAAAGCTTCCAGGTTTCCAGAGAGGTAATTTCTCCCGACAACTGGGAACCTGCCCGGAAGCCTTTTGATCGTGTCTTGGCTTGTTTTTATCAGAGCAAACTTTGATAACTCGCTCGCTCACGCTCGCGACACACACTGATCCACGAATAAACAAGTCGTTTCTTTAAACAAGTCTTCTTTCTCTCTCGGGCCCTCTTTGCGGCCCAACAGCCGCTACAACGATCCAGCAACCATATACATATCTCGAGATTATTCTTTATATTCCCTCGAGGAATAATCTTCTCGGCTCCCTGACGAAACAACCAGTGACGCGTTGTTTACAACTGCCTGTGACGCTTGGGCCATTTGCCTCGATCGTTTTCTATGGTTTTGGCTTTTGTTGGTATACGAGTTGATCGACGTATCGATCGCCCAAATGCGAAGATCATCCATTCCTTCCATCCAGATAGAGATGGCGGCTTTGAAAAATCCAAGTCAATTAGCCGAAACCCAGGACGTGGAGTTAACATCACGTAGGATCTTTGGGACCTTTTGGAAACATCGGCTTTGGTTTTGGCGTGGTTTTCTTCTTCGCTCCAAAGTCAGAGTCTGTGCCAAGATATTCGTACGGATGGCGCGTGTGTACGGATAACTGTTATTCCCCTGCGTTGGATCCGGCCAGCCGACGGTCCAGATGCGTCGCCCCGGGCTTGAAAAGCTCTCCCGGTTTGGCTGGAGCGCTGGCATTGATAGAGCTTTGATCGAATCGAGCAATCGCTCCTCTTTTATCTTTTTCTTAATTTTTTTCTTCTTCTCCCGATCAAGTCGCCGCGGATCATTTTCCCTGACCAGTTCGCTCGCTCCGCCCCGGGAAAATGTGACCAACAGGAGGAAGAAGAAGAAAAAGAGATTGATTAGGTCTGTAGCGCCGCGATCGCCGATCGATCGACTAGGAAATGTCCCAAGAGGATGAAGCCCAATGTGACAGTTTGAAACGATCGCCGCCACGGCCACCACCACCACCGCTAGCGCCACTGCCAGAGAATTCCTCCAGCGCCACCACCACCACCACCGCGCACGGCTACCCAATTGACCAATTCCTCCAGCAGCACGAGATTGTCCGATCGAGCGCCACCACTCCCCTGCGATTGCTACTCTCGCGACTCCGGTGGGGGATCATCAGGCCACCATTCCCCGCCAGCGCCTTCTCGATCGATGGCGATGAGGAGGAGAGGATCAAGAGGAGCAGTAGCAAGGAGAGAGGAAGATCATACGTGCTGCTGCCACGGTGGATTTCCAGCCGCCTCACCTTCTACCGCCTCCACCTCGCGTACTTCGTCACCATCGCCTGGGTCGCATCGATCTGCCTGTGGCTTTTCCCCAAGAGCGATCGCGCCGGGGCGGACAAGCTGGCCTTCATCGACTGCGTCTACAATGCCGTGTCCTCGGTGTGTACCACGGGCCTCATCAGCGTCCGGATGACCAGCTTCTCGCTGCCGGACAACATCCTCATCATGATCCTCTTCACGCTGGGCAGCCCGATCTTCACGTCGGTGCTGCCGCTCTACATCCGCCTCTTCCAGTTCCGCAAGAACATCGTGGAGATCGAGCACCACCTCGGGCAGCCCGAGGTGGCGGCGGCAGCGGAGCTGGAGTCCGAGGGCGAGCCCGAAGCCAAGTCCGAGATCGAGTCCGTGGTGTCCGAGATGGAGGCCGAGGTGGTGCCCGAGGTGGTCGGGCACCGGATCATCACGCGGCGGCGCTCCGCCAAGAACATCCACGCCGCCAACGCCGTGACCAAGCTCCGTGACGCGCTGGCCACCATGCGGCTGGAGCACGACGCGCTCGTCTCGCTCAATTGGGTCGTCTCGATCTACTTCGTGGTGTGGACGATCCTGGGCTTCCTGGTGCTCGAGATCCTGCTCCAGTGCTCCGCTAAGGACATGGCGGTGCTGGAGCAAAGGTCTGTCAACCATCTCTTCTTCTCGCTCTTCGCATCAATCTCCACCTTCACGAACTCGGGGATATTGCCGCTCGACGATAGTATAGCCGCGTTCCGGGAGAACAACGGGATCCTTCTCTGGCTCTCGATCTTGATCCTGGTCGGGAACACCCTCTTCGCGCCCTGCCTCCGCACCACCATCTGGTGCCTCAAATCGCTCAGCGCCACCCCGGCCAGGAGAGCGATCTACGACTATCTTCTCAAGAATCCTCGGCGCTGCTTCACTCATCTCTTCCCCAGGAATCAAACCATCTGGCTCGTCGTCACCGTCATGGGATTCAATGCCTTCGAGAGCGCCTTCTTCTACATTCTCAGCTGGCGGTCGCAAGCGCTCGATGGCTTGACCACGCCGCAGAAGCTCGTCAACGGGATCTTCCAGTCCATCACAACGCGCAGCGCCGGCGAGAACGTCGTCTCCATCTCCGCGCTCTCGCCATCCATGCTAGTCCTTTACATTGCCATGATGTGAGTGGAACTCTCTCCATTTCCCCTTTGTTTTGTTCCTTGCAGCAAATGCCCAAGGGTGGCATTTTTTTTTGTCTTTTGGGTCTTTTTTAACGCGACGCTTCTGGCTTTGCAGGTACATTGCGGTGTATCCCGTCTATCTCTCTCGCCAAAACTCGCAAGCCCAAGACGAGAGCGTGGAGAAAACTAGCAAAAAGATCCAAGACCACGGCAAAAAAAAGAAGAAGAAGAAGAAGGGTGATTTCTCCATAGCCAGCCAGTCCAAGCGGCTGATAGCTACCGACACGGCCTATCTCTTCATCTCGATCTTCGTGCTGTGCATCATCGAGAACCGAAAGATCAACGATGATCCACTCAACTTTTCCATCTTCAACATCATCTTCGAGGTCATAAGGTGGGTAAAAAATTTAAAAAAACTTTTGGCAAACAAAGTTCGTGACTTCCTCTCTCACGGGAATTGGGAGCTCCACGGGCTTTGTTCTCTAGTGGCCACGCCTATTGAAAGCTCTGGTTCTCTATCTAACTCCTTTATCCTTTGTTTTTTCTCTTTTTTTCTCTGTGCAGTGCTTATGGCAACGTCGGTTTGTCACTGGGCTACAGTTGCTCGCTGTTGCGAAAGCTGACTTCGTTTAGCTCCGACACATCGTGTGAAGATGTGCCTTACAGTTTCTCTGGCACCTGGAGCGTCCCGGGCAAGCTCCTCATGATCGTCATCATGTTTCTCGGCAGGCACCGTGGGCTACCCGATAACATGGACTCTGCCTTGCAAATCCCAAAGAGTTTCTTCACCACCACCAAGCGCGACCAAAACTATCAGCACCACCACGAAAATGGTATCAGCTTGGACCATCAACCCGTGGAGATCCACCCCGAGTACGTGGTGGAGATTCCGGCAGCCGTGGATTTCTCGGTCGTGGAGATTGATGGCGATCAAGCTCGTCAGCAATGCTCTTGCGGGCCGGATCATCCCGACCGGTTGGAGCTTCAAAAGCTGGACCGGTTTCCAGTCGTGTGAGGACTGCGATGCGCCTCAATAATGGACACGACCGGCTGTTTGTGGATTTGAGGAGGTGAGGAGGACTCAACCAAGGGAGAAAGATGGCGACCAGGAAGGAAAGAAAGAAAAAAACAATTTTGCTTCGAAAGGATGGATGCTGTTCTTCCGGGACGCTTTCCTCGACTCCACAGCCCGTTGACGGCGACTTCCAACACTTGCAAGAAACTCTGCAGTGATAAGAAAGCCGGGACAAGTTGACGACTTTGAAGAGATGGTCAGTCGTAATAGTTTCTCTCGCTCACTTATATAAGCAAACGAGAGAGAGAGAGAGAGAGAGAGAGAGAGAGATAGATACAATTTGGGACAAGGGATCGAGAAAACTTCCTTCTTTTTTGGGCGCTTCTGGCCTGGCCTGCGTCTCTCGACAAAGACGTGTGCGTAACATGGCAGCAGGGCCCTTCCTTTCTATCTTTTCGGTGGCTCCAGTGGGATGGAGACGATGACTCGAAAGTGGACGAGTCACGACGTTGTCAAAATGTCTTGACAACGAAAAAAAGGACTTTTTTATAGATTTTTTACGTTTCTGGTTGCTACTGCTGCTCTACTGCTGCTACTGCTGCCGGAATCACTAGAAATGCGTTTTGTGGTCTCGAAAACTCAAGAAAGCTTGGTGCCAGGAGAGTTATAGCCAGGTTGAGCGAGTACGGGAGAGACACCGAGGAACGTCCTAATCTATCGGGGGTCCCTTTGTTGACCACCGTCCAGAGCCGAAAAATCTCTAGTAGACATTGAAAAAAATAAAAAAATTCGTGAAGAAGCTTCACACACAGAGACCACCTTCCATTTGGCTTGGAGCCTGGAAGTAGGACGTAGACACGAAAGGAAGAAGGTTGAGAGTGGAGCAGCGAGACGAGAACACGCAAATGCGAAGGAAGAAACAAACACATATCAGCGTGTACGGGCCGCACGAATTTCTTATGCTTGCCAAATGGATGGATTGGAAACAGGCACTATTTACACGCGGCTCTCCGCGCTACCTGAAAGTTCCTCCACAAAAAGGGAGAAAATTATAAAGCAGTAATTCAACTCCAACTTTGCCTCCAATGGCGGCTGTGCGTGGAAGTCAGTGCTCCAGGCTTTACGCAAGAGCAAACACCACGAACTCAACGTGTTTGAAGAACAAAATGATCGAATCGTTTTGTGCACGAGAGAAGAGTAAGAGCTATATGGGAGCCTCAAGAGTTTAGACTTGAACACCCAAGTTGGAGGCTTTTGATCTTTCCGTTCTTCCACTGCTCACAAAGACAGTTGCAAAAAAAGTAGATCACGTTTAAATTTTATTAAATAGAATTTTCCTTCTTTTATCTGCAAAAAGTCAAATTAAAAACAAAAATAGCAGTTTGACTGAAACCAGGTGCAAAACCAACATTGGCCCAGATGGATTTTAGCTTGGGAGGGCTGCTGTTTCCCAAAGGTTGGTTTCTTCGCCACCTTTCGCAAGTTTGACATAGAGCAGTAGCGAGGGCGCGAAGAACCCTAGGTAAGTTTTTTGGTTTTCATGGAGCCGGGGCAAGCGTGGGCTCTAGAGGTCGAGTGTCGCGCGGCCAAGGCTGGCAAGGACGCGCTCAAGCGTCTGGGATGGCTGGATTCAGGGCGCCGGAGCCAGCTGACCTGCGATGGGTCCAAGGTAGCGTTTCCAGTGACAATGCAGGGCGCCCAGGCGCTACTCTCGATTTTTGGAGGAGAGAGAGGCCAAGATCAGTGCGAGCAGCTTGTTGGTTCTCCCGGAGCAAGCCTTGTTTCGTTGGAGCTGCCGGGAAATCGAAGAAGTAGCATCGCTCCCCAGCAAAGATTGAGTAAAGAGGTGTTGCTGTTGCTCCAGGAGCGGGACCTTGACGAGGCGCTCGTGGAAGAGCTTCCAACGAAGTAAGTCATTGTTCTCGTGGTAAAGTGCTAAGTCTCAGGAGACTTTCCAGGTGGGAAAGAATCGGTGATCTCGTAATTCTTCCGGGGAGCTCACTGCGGAGCGAGCTCTGGAAATCTCTAGGATCTCCGCTGTGGAAAATCATAGCAGAGTGCCTTGGTGTAACCAAAGTAGCACGTCAAGTAAGTAGAGATTGCTTTCTCTTTGATTATTCTATAGATACAATAGATGTTTCCAGGGCCCGGTTGCCTCGACTGGAACGAGAGACAGTGGAGTGGAAATGCTGCTGGGCGAGGATGGCTGGGTTGAGCACCGAGAAAACGCTATTCTCTATTGCTTCGATGCCACCAAGTGCATGTTTTCTTCTGGAAACGTGACTGAGCGCTCGAGGATGGGAGAACTTAACTGTGACAACGATGTGATTGTGGATCTCTTTGCCGGTATTGGCTACTTTGTGTTGCCATTCCTCGTGAGGTAGTTGATCGAGCAGCTTTTCTCTTACGCTGACAAATGTTTCTCTCCTTCCTTTTGGTTTTCACAAGGGCCAGAGCGAAGCACGTCTATGCATGCGAATGGAATCCACACGCTCTCTACGCTTTGCGCCGGAACTTGCGTGCCAGTGCTGTCGAGAAACGGTGTACCGTCATTGAAGGTGACAATCGGCTCACTGCTCCTCGGGTAAATGCGTTAAGCTTGGAGAAAAGATTTACAAGGCTTTACTTGGCAGGAAGTTGCTGATAGAGTGTGCTTGGGACTTCTCCCCTCGAGCGAAGGAAGCTGGGCTGTGGCAGTGAGAGCTCTAAAGTAACCGTGATTTCTTTCATTTGCGTACAAGTTTCCTCACTTCTTCTTTCAGGTCAGGCGGTGGAATTCTTCACGTTCACGAAAACATCAAGGACGTCGAAGAGGAGGACTGGATTGAGTACCTCACTAAGTCCCTCCAGACACTTGCAAACGCACAGGGTTCGTGATCGCTCTTCTTTTACTTATTTGGATCACGTTGATGATAGGAAGAAGCTGGGAGATCCGTGTGAACCACATCGAGCACGTCAAGTGGTATGCTCCACACGTACGTCACATTGTAGCAGACGTATGGTGCAGTTCATTCAAAGAAACGTGATAGGTATAGAAGCTCTCCAACTCTTTTTGCTCCAAAGAACCTTTTTCGTAGGAAAAACTAATATAATATTGGTTTAATGCAATCCAATGGTAGCTGAGGAAAGCAGAGGCTTCGTCATTGAAATCAGCTTTAAAGGTGAAGATTTTCAACAATGCTTTTGATAGTTTGGCGAGCACTGCTTCTCGGAGTTCCACAATGAAGAAATCTTGATGGCGATTCACAGACCGCTGGTTTGAACTAGTAGTTATGGTATTCCCGCGGAAATAGTAAATACCACCAAAATGTATTAAGGCTCTCACACTCTCTCACTATGTTGTCTCTTCTCTCTCTACTTTGTGTCAACAGTAATTTCATTAGTGATATATTTATATTTAGTGATCATTATTTAATGACATAACCAAATTATAATAATTAACTTAACAAAAGGAGTGGAACAGTTGGAGCCGTTGACTAAGGCGAGATGGTCGTTGACCCGCGTGAAATTGGCGTTGACAGGAGCCACTGCTGAATTGGCGGATCCTCCCTCCGCTGCGTCTCAGTTTGGAGACTCCAACCTATTTCCCTCCAGCAGCGTCAATCCCAGAGGCTCCCTGCCGCCAACCAGGGACGTGCCAAAAAGGGCGGGATTGGCGATGACGGGCGCCACTGCTGGATCTTTGGCACGTCCCTGGTTGGCGGCAGGGAGCCTCTGGGATCGACGCTGCTGGAGGGAAATAGATTGGAGTCTCCAAACTGAGACGCAGCGGAGGGTTTGGACGGAGACCTCCGGGAGGTACTCGTTGAGCAGCGATTATTGGCTCGTGAGGCGAAGTGTGGAGTAAGAAGACGAGCAGCTATGGCCTGACGTATACGGATGGGCTGGCTATGGAAGACAGTGGCCACGTGGGGGTGTACATAACACGCATATGGTCCAGCTACCCTTGATTGTCTTAAACACCTTAGACTCTTCTCTGAGGAAACAGCAGAAATTGGAGGCCCTGGTGATCGTTGACGAGGATGATGACCTTGAGTTTGAAAGCCGGTATTATTTGCGAGTTGGTTCTTAGTTGTATACTCGGCATCCAAAAAATATGCCTCGACTCAAGTTTGATGACTACTCATCACCATCACGTGTTATTACACCAAGCTGCTTGTCTTGTTTAATCACTGATTCGTGCAAAACCGTGACACAACATCACACTGGGGCATCCAGGAACATGTCTCGACCCCGAGCAAAGTCTGAAGGCTCCTTCGCTGCAGCAGTGGCGGTGATCATCGAATTCATGGTGACTATATCCCAGGTACATCGAAGAATTCCCTGCAAGCGATAATGCTCGCATGGTAGCGGCTCCAGTGACATTGCATGGCGACGATCGTTTTAGAGGAAGGTCAAGATCAGTCGAGCTGCCATGAACTGCCCAGCAAAGATGCTTCAGCAGTGAGGTCTTCACGTGTGGAAGAGTTTCCAATAAATGTACAGTAGGAGATTTTAAGGCTCACCAGCCAGTTTTAGAAATCTCTAGGATCTCCGCTGTGGAAAATGGTGTGATGAAAGTAGCACATCATGAAGTAGCTCTTTGACTGTTCTATAGATACCATCGATGTTTCCAGACCCGGTTGCCTCGACTGGAACGAGAGACATTGGAGTAGAATTGCTGCTTGGCGAGGATGGCCGGGCTGAGCGCTATTCTTTCGATGCCACTAAGTGCATGTTTTCTTCTGTAAGCGCTCGGGGATGGGAGAACTTCGTACGATATGGTTGTGGATCTAGGTATGGCTACTTTGTATTGCCTTGTCTTGCCTTTTGATATGCATGCGATGGAATCAGGTCCCACCGTGAATCCCCATGCTCGCCAGCATCGAGAGTTCTTCCTTGCAGCTCCAAGGCCATTGCTTGTGGCGTCCTTGGCTCATCCACTCATTCTTATCTTATGCGTGAACCACGTCAGCAACGTCCGTCACATTGTACCGGAGTGCACATATCACAAGCTCATCAGTTGCATTAGCTAGTTACGAGCTCGTAACTAGCTAAAAAAAAATTTCATAGCTCGTACTCTTTCTAAGGAGAGGACTTTAGCAGTCATTCAACGGCGGGTGATCCATTGGAGAACACGTAAGAACTTACTAAATGCTATATTAGAAACTCGATTCCAAACAGATAGCTTCTCACAAACTCATCCCCAGCTCTGTATAAGCACATGCCTTACAATCTATGGACTTGACCATATGCGTGTTCCAGAGTCCGTGATGTAAACACCCGCATGGCCACTGTTTTCCATAGCCAGCCCATATGTATACTTCAGCCCATAGCTGCTCGTCTTCTTACTCCACACTTCGCCTCGCGAGCCAATAATCGCCAAAACTCCATACTCGTTGAGATGCAGGTAACATCCCGAGTCCCTCCCGGAGGTCTCCGTGCCCCACACCCTCCGGTGCGTCTCCCTCACACTCACCACCAGCGCGCAGTCAGTCTCCATGGTGAGCACGAACAGCAAGTTTGGAGACTCCAATCTATTTCCCTCCAACAGCGTCGATCCCAGATGTTCCCTGCCGCCAACCAGGGACGTGCCAAAGATCCAGCAGTGGCGCCCGTCAACGTCAATCCCGCGCGGGTCAATGACCGTCTCGCCCGCATCAGCGGCTCCATCATCCAAGATTTTAGACTGTGGAAGATAAAGAAGTGTAAGATCAAGGGTGCCGCTGCCACTACCGGTACCTGGCTCTTCCTCAAAAGGAGTGTCTCGCAGCTCATACTCGATTCCAAAATAGCGGAGAACCAGGTTGACGTGGCCGTACCACATGTTGACAATTGGATCCAAGTCCTGGATCGTGTCACGGATCTCCTCCAACATCGTCGTGATGCTCTGGATGAGCTCGCGGCCCCCGGCGCTGGTGCGGCTGGGCGCCACTGTGCAGATGTCACTGTTCTCCATGAAAGCTCGGTTGTACAGCCACAGCCTCACCCGCACAAACGCATTTTGGGTGTATTCCACGACGAAGGACATGCTCCGCCCTGTGCCGTAGCCAGCGTCAGGGTTCAGGGACCTCAGGTACTCTTCGATGCGGCTTATGAGATCCAGGACGTGGGTGATAGCAAGCTGGCCAAATCGCAGCCTGAACCTGAAGATTCCACGGAATGGAATCCCCGGAGGTGGCTGTGCAATGCAGGGACAAGCAAGTGACATGAGTAGAGCAAGTGACACAAGGCTGGTTCTCATGATTGGCCTCAACAATTTTCCACATCAACTTAATTGAGCACAAATAATTGTTTTTATATGTTTTAATTATTTCATATCCATCTATGTATGTGTGTTGGCTCTAGCGCATATGCTTGAACGCTCAACAACTATCCCAGGAATTTGCGCGCTTAACAAAGCCAGGAAAGCAGTGGTTTCTGGCAACATTCTGAGAATATCCCTTCACTATTTAAAGTCTATCATCCGGACTATATGTAAAGGCATGCCCATCGTTGTGAGCGCCCTTGGATCCTTACAAGGCATGTCCCTTGTCCCATGCTCTGTGCTGGAACTTGAGCGCAAGTGAAGTTCAAGGAACAGTATATTGTCAATTAGCTCACTGCTCCTGGGGTGAATGCATTTATTCTTGGAGAAAAGATTTACAAAGGGTTTGCATTCTTTGCAGAAAGTGCTGATAGAGTATGCCCGGGTGAAGGAAGATGGGCTATGGCAATGAGAGCTCTAAAGAAACAGCTATTTTCTTTTATTTGGTTTTCATAAGATCTTTATCAATGAGTTTAAATTTGTAAGGGAAACAAATTAAAGGGAAAGGGCCTAAAATGAATAAAACTGCAATTTAGTATTAAACAATAGACTAGAGTACTATATCTGTGACCGCTCTATGGAAGAAACTAGACGCATATGAGGTACCAGGAGTCATGAAATCTTGCTCAAAGCTGGCACAAGTGACACTACAAAGCTTTGGAAGTGGTTTGTTGATGAATACAACCAACATTTGGACATGGAGGTGATGAGAATTCATTCTTAGATCACGTATACATGACAAGGACATTCAAGCACACACATAAATGTTGAACAAGCTCTTCTCAGATCTCGGGAAACGAGCATGAAGTCCCTGAATCCATGAAGAAGATCCAGCTTTAAAAGTCATTGCCAAGAGAGTGGGATGGGATGATGAGAGAGGGCAACTTCACCTTTGATGGGGTTATAGTGAAAGCTTATCAACTTTTCATTGTTGCAAGGAAGGAAAGATCAAACCACCAGCCAGGCTATATATGCCAAAAAAGCGCCAATGAAGGCTATGGTTGAAGGAATGGAAGGTAAGGATGCTGAGAATGCCACAACTAGAGATGAGCATTGTGCATATGACTACCTCAATAATGTTTTGGAAAATTTGATAAGAGGAACCATGTGATAAGATTGAGGAAGAAAGTCAAGGTCTAGAGTGGTCTTAGGCAATGATACTCAGTTTAGGATCCATGTTCCATGTTTTTGAACTTTTCAAGAGTTCACCAAATCTAGTATTACTCAAACCAAAAAATGTATAATTTTATGTATTGCAAAACCCTTAACCATTTGGAAAAGCCATTTTTTAAGTCGTTCTTTTTGGTTTTTTTAAAAAATATTTACAACAAAAATAACAATATCAATTGATAATAATGTATTCTTTATGGAAAAAACTAGCTCTGCATATTTGGGAAGAAGCTATTGTATGGATGACATCAAAGTAATCTTTAAGCAATAGGTAACAAATGTCAAATAAATGATAAATAACAGAAGCTCATATTTCTATAAAGCCTTGCACAAGCTGAAGGACATCATAGTAGGATTGGATCTTAGGAGCAAGGTTAGACAAAACTTTTGTGAGTCTTGTATGCTGGAAAACCATCATTATCAAAACTTTACTTCATTAAAACATCAGAGTAGTTAGCCATTTGAGCTCCTTCACTTGAACTTAAGTGACTTTGGCACAAAGCACTTCATTACTTTTGTTGACAATTTTACTTGCCAGCAATGCTCAATCAAATTTCTGCCCTAAAGACTTGCATTTTCTTTTTCTATAAGGAAAGAATGAAGTTATGGAAGCATTCAAGCACTATTAAGGCTTTCATCGAGATGAAGCTAGAACAAAAGATTAAGGTATTGAGGACTGATGGGGAAAAAAGTATTGTAATAATGCCTTTTGAGATTTTTTGCTATGTAAATGGGATCTAGCATCAAATCAGTAGAAGTTAACATAGTGATATAGGAATTCAAGGCCATATTGTTAACTTTTATATCATCTTTCCTAAAGATGACTGCATGCAAAAGGTGGTGAAAGCAACATGCATAAGCTTCATGAATTCTAGTGCTAGCTATTCCTTT